ATGTCTGTTCGTTAAGTAGCAATTTCCTGTAAAGTAATTACCTCGGAATTTAACAGAGCATTTTATCATTCCCACAAGTTTCAATATATCTCCGGACGCATTCCGCGCAGTGTGTTCTGTTGGTAATACTTTCGGACACCCAATTAAATACCACGTTCGTTTCGAGATTAGTGTGATATCTGACGCTGTGTCCAATTGCAATCGAATATAAACACCATTAACAATTAATTCCACATATCTTCTTTTATTCGCTACGCTTAGAGCCAGTGTAGAATATACGCTGTTTATATACTTATTTTCGTACTGGTGCGGACGTCTGGTTCGTTTTGATCTTAAACTTTCTCTAGTTCGGCAGACTAATTCTTTGTGGCCAACTTTATTGCATATAGTGCATCTATGATTTCTAAACCGGCAAAATCTTGAGAAATGCCACGCACCACAATACCAACATTTAGTTGCAGGTTTAGGAGTTTTCGAGTAATATTTATGACTTTTGGTACTGTTTTGTCTTTGACCTGTCTTAACAGCATGAACAGAATTCGATGGCGCAGCACTTTTGGTTTCCAGCATAGCTGTATCTTGTTTTAGGTTTATTAATCGTTGACATTCAGTGGTGATAGTTTGTAACGTCATTTCATCATCATGTTCCATACGGGATAACAACTTCATGCGAAAGTCAGCATCAACAGGAGAGTTCAGACCAGAAATGAATAATAAGCATTTAAATTGATCACTGGTTAATACATTTAATTTAAATCGTTCTGCTTGTAAATTTACTCTTCCGGCGTACGTAGTATAATCTTCATCAGCCCTTTAGTCAGCTGTAGACAGTTATACCGGATACGGAATAAAGACGACTGTTCACAAAACATTTTATTTAGGATGTTAACAGTTTCATCGAAATTAACTTCTCGTGGATGTTTAGGCAGAATATGGTTTTTATACTTTTGATGCTCATTAGGACCAAGTTTCTGTAATAGCAGCCGAACTTTCTTTGCATCATCTATAGCAGCAAATTCAACTCGGAAAATATCTTCAATTCTGCCAAACCATGCTTCAAAAGTGTGACCATTGTCTGCATCAAATATAAATTCTGAAACTGGATTAAGGTATGACTCGATACTTTTATGTTCTGGAATCTCTTGTTGGATAGATAGTTTCCCCAAAAGTGTTTCCAAGAGTTTCTGTTGAGAAGCTAACATCTGCTGCTGCTGTTGTTGATATTGTTGCTGCTGTTGTTGTAATAATAACTGCAACTGTTCTAAGGAAATCGACATTTTTTTTTCTGCCAATAATATTAGCTCCAAAAATCACCGGCAATTATAATAGCTGATTTATTTCCAAAATCTGAGTCACCACTTGTCGTATTATGATTATTATTATTTTGTTGCCAAAATCCCCGTCGCCAATTGTTATGACCTTGAATGTCTGGTTTTTCTATCACGCGACTTATCTACCAATCCGAATACGACTTATACGAATCTTCACACTAGGCCAACCAATGACGTTCAACCGGTGTGGGCAGTTTAGCGTCCTTATTGGTCCTATGTCCTACGAGCCCTTCCACTTGAGTCCAGAACAAGATACCAGCTTCCGAATATGAATCGAATCGTTTATTTCAGGCATACTTGGTTTATATATCAATCACACAGACCGCAACGTACCATAAAATAGGAAATAATATTTGTACACAAATAAGCCAAAAAGTGGCTGTGAATGTGGGAGGCATTAGTTAATAAACTGAACATAACTTAAGAACCGTAAATCGTACAATAATAAATTATAGGTCAAAATAAAGCTTATAATAAGAGGAATATAAATATACATAATGTAATTGTTGAATAGTTATACAATAAGAATATTTACAGAATATTAGTCCATTAGTAGTCCTTGGAATTTACCTGTGGTTTAATCCTCACCGGATATAACACCTCCCCTTTTTTCGAAGCATTAGTGATAATAATGATCCTTAGGATTTATTTTTATTCGATTGGGTTTTCGTCTGATGCGCTGCGACCTCCTCGGAAGTGTTTCACACGTCTTGTTATTATTCGGATCATTTTTAATTTCATTATTCGACTCAGTTAATATATCTATTGGTATATTCGACTTTGTAGCATTTCTGTCTCTCGTCCTTGTCTGGTTGGCTGTATCTGGTTTGCATGCCGTACCCATATCTTTTTCCAACTTTTACTTCGTAGATAACTTTCCCTTTTTTTCGTATTATTATGCCAAACTTCCAAGTTGGCTTTACTCCCGTGAAATCTCTTGTTATTACCGCTTGTCCCACCTTAAACCTTCTGGGCAATGCACCGTGCCGCTTGTTGAATTGCTGTTCCATTCGTTTGTTCTTTCGGAGGTTGGCTCTAAGCTTTGGTTTCATTTGCTCCATAGGTATTCTAATCTTTCTCCCAAAAATTGCTTCTGCTGGGCTTTCTTGATTATTTGTTGTTGGGTTTGGTGTTGCTCGGTATGTCTGTAGAAATCTTTGAATCATCTCGTCTATTTCACCTTCTCCCTCGGCTTTAAGTAGTGCTCTTTTAAATGTATCTACGAACCTCTCAACTAGACCGTTTGACTGTGGATGATATGGGGGTGTCTTTATATGCCTAACAGCGTTGGCGACGCAGAAGTTCGAGAATTCAGCGGAGGTGAATTGTGGCCCATTATCAGATACTAATACATCTGGACACCCAAAGCAGCTAAATACTTGTCTCAGTTTTTCAATAGTAGCTTTTGTAGAAAGAGACTTTACGTAGTGGATTTCTGGCCATTTTGAGAAAGCATCAACCATCACTAAGTACTGTTTTCCGTTTATGGGACCGGCGAAATCTACGTGTACTCTTGACCATGGATTTGTTGGTGTCCCCCAACTCTGCATTTCTGTCTTACGAGGGGCTTTGATAGCTTTTGCACACGCAGAACATGTCTCAACACATTCTTTGATCTGAGCGTCAATATTCGGCCAATATACATATCCACGTGCAAGTGCCTTCATCCTTGCTACCCCTGGGTGTGCGGCATGCAGTTGTGACATCACCTTACGGCGTAAATTTATGGGTACGATTACTCGATTCCCAAACATCAAGCATCCATCCACAAGTGATAGGGAATTCCGACGGTGGGAATACTGTTCAATATTTTTGTCGTCTATATGGGCAGGCCAACCATGTTCGAGGTATCTAATAATCTGCTTCAATTCATCATCTTCTTGAGTATAACGTTTAATGTCTTCACAGGATAACGGTGTTGCTTTTATGGCAACTTGTAGTATATGGTGAACATCATTCTCCAACGATATCGTTGCAATAATAGAATCTTCACTTTTCTGCTTCTGATTAGCAATTAATCTAGATAAAGCATCGGCTTGTCCAAACTTTTCAGTTGATTTATATAGGATTTGGAAATCATAAGCAAGCAACGTAATAGCCCAGCGTTGTAACCGATTCGCTGTATAAGCAGGAATACCTGACTTTGATCCAAATATAGATAAAAGCGGCTTGTGGTCTGTTAAAAGCGTAAATCGACGACCATAAATCATTTTATGAAATTTCTTTACTGCAAAAACTAAAGCTAATCCTTCCTTCTCAATCTGACTATATTTTCGTTCGGCTGAGTTAAGAGTTCGGGATGCATGAGCAATTGGCTTTTCTTTACCATCAGGAAAACGATGACTGATAACGGCTCCAATTCCATAGTTTGAAGCATCGGCGGCTACAATTATTTCAAGCTTTGGATTATAATGAGTCAGCAACAGTTTAGAAGATAAAATCCTTTTTATTTCATCGAAAGAATCTTGGCATTCTTTTGTCCAGTGCCATGTTGTATTAGCCATCAAGAGCTGATTTAATGGTTGTCGCAATTTATACATCTGGGGTACGAACATACTATAATAACCAATCATCCCCAAGAATGAACGAAGGGTTGTAACCTCAGTCGGTCTGGGCATATTTTTGATAGCATTTATATTGTCTGGATCCGGTCGACGACCATCTTTATCAAATATATATCCCAGGTATTTAACAGACTCGAGCAGAAATTCACACTTTTCTTTTTGTAACTGAAACCCAGCTTGTGATATTTTAGTGAGCACCACATCTAACCGACGCATTAATTCCTGCGCGGAAGAGCCAACAACTATAATATCATCCAAATAAACTGCTACACCTTCGATGTTAGACACCATAGTATCCATTATCTGCTGGAAAATTGCTGGAGCTGGCTTAACACCAAACGGTAATCGGTTAAATCGATAAAGTCCACGGTGGGTATTAATGGTTAATAACTCCTTTGAATCTTCGTCAACTTCCACCTGTAAGTAAGCTTCAGACAAATCAAGTTTAGAAAAATAACGTCCACCGTTCAGTTTAATAAATAAATCCTCTGGCAAAGGTAATGGATATGAATGATTTTGTAAAACGTCATTTAATCCTGTTGAAAAGTCTGCACAAAGGCGAATAGCTCCGCTCGCTTTCTGAACTACTACAATTGGTGCTGCCCATGCCGAATAATTAACAGGTTGTATAACACCGAGTTTCTCTAGTCGGTCTAATTCTTTGTCGACTTTGTCAATAGCTGCATATGGAACTTGACGCTTTGGACGGAAAACAGGTTTTACATCCTGTCGTAGGTATAATTTTGCCTTCTCAATTGTGCAGCATCCCAATTTATTCTGGAACAAGTTTTTATGTTTCTGCAAAAGATCTTCTATCGTTACGACTTTCTTGGTTACATGAACTGCGGGTGGATCTCTAGGATTATTTGCGCCTTTCATTGTGCATATTTCATTTAATGGTACATCCCATAAATTTAGTTTATCTATCCAGTCTATACCAATAAGGTCTAACTCATGTCTGTTCGTTAAGTAGCAATTTCCTGTAAAGTAATTACCTCGGAATTTAACAGAGCATTTTATCATTCCCACAAGTTTCAATATATCTCCGGACGCATTCCGTGCAGTGTGTTCTGTTGGTAATACTTTCGGACACCCAATTAAATACCACGTTCGTTTCGAGATTAGTGTGATATCTGACGCTGTGTCCAATTGCAATCGAATATAAACACCATTAACAATTAATTCCACATATCTTCTTTTATTCGCTACGCTTAGAGCCAGTGTAGAATATACGCTGTTTATATACTTATTTTCGTACTGGTGCGGACGTCTGGTTCGTTTTGATCTTAAACTTTCTCTAGTTCGGCAGACTAATTCTTTGTGGCCAACTTTATTGCATATAGTGCATCTATGATTTCTAAACCGGCAAAATCTTGAGAAATGCCACGCACCACAATACCAACATTTAGTTGCAGGTTTAGGAGTTTTCGAGTAATATTTATGACTTTTGGTACTGTTTTGTCTTTGACCTGTCTTAACAGCATGAACAGAATTTGATGGCGCAGCACTTTTGGTTTCCAGCATAGCTGTATCTTGTTTTAGGTTTATTAATCGTTGACATTCAGTGGTGATAGTTTGTAACGTCATTTCATCATCATGTTCCATACGGGATAACAACTTCATGCGAAAGTCAGCATCAACAGGAGAGTTCAGACCAGAAATGAATAATAAGCATTTAAATTGATCACTGGTTAATACATTTAATTTAAATCGTTCTGCTTGTAAATTTACTCTTCCGGCGTACGTAGTATAATCTTCATCAGCCCTTTAGTCAGCTGTAGACAGTTATACCGGATACGGAATAAAGACGACTGTTCACAAAACATTTTATTTAGGATGTTAACAGTTTCATCGAAATTAACTTCTCGTGGATGTTTAGGCAGAATATGGTTTTTATACTTTTGATGCTCATTAGGACCAAGTTTCTGTAATAGCAGCCGAACTTTCTTTGCATCATCTATAGCAGCAAATTCAACTCGGAAAATATCTTCAATTCTGCCAAACCATGCTTCAAAAGTGTGACCATTGTCTGCATCAAATATAAATTCTGAAACTGGATTAAGGTATGACTCGATACTTTTATGTTCTGGAATCTCTTGTTGGATAGATAGTTTCCCCAAAAGTGTTTCCAAGAGTTTCTGTTGAGAAGCTAACATCTGCTGCTGCTGTTGTTGATATTGTTGCTGCTGTTGTTGTAATAATAACTGCAACTGTTCTAAGGAAATCGACATTTTTTTTCTGCCAATAATATTAACTCCAAAAATCACCGGCAATTATAACAGCTAATTTATTTCCAAAATCTGAGTCACCACTTGTCGTATTATGATTATTATTATTTTGTTGCCAAAATCCCCGTCGCCAATTGTTATGACCTTGAATGTCTGGTTTTTCTATCACGCGATTTATCTACCAATCCGAATACGACTTATACGAATCTTCACACTAGGCCAACCAATGACGTTCAACCGGTGTGGGCAGTTTAGCGTCCTTATTGGTCCTATGTCCTACGAGCCCTTCCACTTGAGTCCAGAACAAGATACCAGCTTCCGTATATGAATCGAATCGTTTATTTCATGCATACTTGGTTTATATATCAATCACACAGACCGCAACGTACCATAAAATAGGAAATAATATTTGTACACAAATAAGCCAAAAAGTGGCTGTGAATGTGGGAGGCATTAGTTAATAAACTGAACATAACTTAAGAACCGTAAATCGTACAATAATAAAATATAGGTCAAAATAAAGCTTATAATAAGAGGAATATAAATATACATAATGTAATTGTTGAATAGTTATACAATAAGAATATTTACAGAATATTAGT